GCGCTTTAATACTAATATATATGTATACCACATTTGCTATATTAGCGCATGCGCTCATTAAAATTACATAGGTGATTCTACTGTCAACATAAGTAATGTTTTAATGATTCAGTGTACACAATTTAGCGGGGGGTATATGCAATTTTATTGGAGATGCGCTTTTAGGGAATCAAATACGGTATTTGAGCTGCATTATTAATGTTTACAGATATATAAGACAATCCTGTTATCACTGTGACTATACCTCTAATGACATGGCGAGCGAACACGTGTCCTGTCGTAACCCCGCCCTTTAAGGTAGAATGTTACACAGAAGTACAAATATTGCCATTTTCTCAATTTTTACATATTTGACTGATATTTCATGTCACGAGGATGGAGAGAATGGAATGAACATACGGGGTCTAGTATTTATACATATTTTTAAAAAATACAATATTTTAAGTGGAAAATGTTTTTTATTGTGGTCTATGGAAACTGCTGCTGAAGTAGCTGCATTTTGTGCATATTATTGTACTGTTTTTTTTTTTCTCCTCAAAAAACAGATTGACAGTAATAAAACAATCACATACTGTTCACTAATACTAAGACAAATATTTTTAGACAGATTTTGACACAAAATATTGCTACAGCCATGTTCGCTAAAATATCATGATGTACACATGTACAAAAACAACAACTCCCGAATCGCATTCTACCTTGAACCGAAAGAATCAATGAGACAGCTGTCTGGAGCTTTCGTATTTCTCTGAAAGGTTACATTTCCTGGCAAGTATATTTATATTTAGCGACTGAAACGGTAGCCTTTTAAAACTGTAAAGGTCAACTACCAAGCGATTTACTGTGTTTCACAACAGCCACGAAATAAACTGTATTTGCACCATACGGTAACGTAATAGTATCTTCCGATAATTTGTTTTAATGGTACGTACCTACTAGTATTTAGAGTGCCGATGAAACGTGTGTTGGTATCTTGAGTAATTACATTCAACCTAAAACATGCGCGTAAATAAAATGTTAAATGTTAATGTAATAACTTTGTCTACTTCATGGTTGTTAACCTATAAACTGATGCGGTGTTCGATTTATGACCAAATGCACTTTTTTTTATGAACTTTTTTTTGATTAAAACTTGTTTTTAAGACTACACATAAAAACACTATGTCCTAAATATATTAACTCTATCTCTACAGAACACGCTCAAGAGTAGGCTTAATTTATTAGTTTATTGACGCTTCAGGCGTGATGTGTAACGTCTTCTGGTTGACTGTTTCCTGTCTCGAGTGCCATAACGCACCAAGCCGTAATTAATGAAGCAGGTGAACGCTTTTCACTAGCTGTATGCTGCCCTCAACGGTAATTTGTTTGAAGGTACGAAAATGAGATCACAGGGTACATTTCTGGTACAGGAACGCAGCGGTATATGATGCCGAATGTAAACTTTCGTAGGTCGATTACATCGTACTATTTTCTATGCCCTTAGTCGCATAGCTGCATTTTGCATAAGAAATACGGCATTTTAACAAATACAGATAGGAGACCCGGGAAGATCTCTTGGGGGATGAGTTTAAGTTAGGTACCAGAGTTAGGCACGCTCTAGTAGAGAGAAATTCACACCTCCTTCCAGGTTCAAGGTTGAGCTAAACACAAAACATTATGAAGTTACACACTAAACACGGTTCATGGTGGCGTTTATAAAATATAACAATACCCCCGTGGCATTCTAGTGTTTGTTGCCAGCGAATGTTACAGGGGAATCTTCAGACATTTTTGGCCGCGAAGCAAGATATTCTTCTAAATGCTATTATTGATTTCAAATTATACTACTTAAACGTACATTTTTTTTCTTTTAATGAAGACTGCGTTGCGTACCCGACTTTAGTCGAGTAAAGACAGATTGCATGGGCAGCAACGGCGTCGGTGCGCATTCAAGTTGGGAACAACATTCGGTAAGCTTTACAATGATTTTGGCAGAAAAACTGATGCTGCCCGACGCCACGTGGCTGCCCGACCCCGACTACGTAATCGAACAGTGAGTTCAATGGACGCACCTGTTGGCATCCAATTTTGCATAAATTTAAGACTGGAACGCACAACTACATTTGTATAATCTGTCAGGCCGAGTTCGGTGGTTCAACCATTCAATTGGTTGTGTTTGAAGCACGTGTTGGGTACAGAATGTGTTTTTTTTTCTTTTAGCATGACGTGATCTCAATGTAGGCTGAATTTAATACGTCAAAAAAAAAAGGATGTCAGCAAACAAGCCATTTTCTGATTGGTCTGACAAGTACAATCTTGTAAGTATAGCTTCTCCTTGACTCGAAATTGTTATTGACTTAGGAAATACAAGTAGGCTCTAAAACTTTATTGCTGTAGTGTTCCAAGAATACAAAATGATGAATTCCCCCATTAGCACGGATAACCGCACACCTATGATATAAATGTCACGTGATTTAAATAATAACAATCGATATTGAGAGTAAACTAAAAAAAAAAATTTCTCATTTGCTATTGGTTAATGTTCTATGTTGTTTTGGTAATTTTGTGAAATCAGCTCCCGATTTGCTTCGCGTGGAAAAGCGTTGCCAATGAAATGAAACATCTAGTTACGGTCTAGTTATTGGGCATATCAATTGCAATAATAAAACTAAGAACCATTGTGACAGTATGCTGCCATTAAATTTTGAGTGCAGTCGTGTCTCGTTTGATGACTGTCAGGTTATAATAGCCTGAGTACTAAGGGATATCGTGACTACCACGCCACAAATGAACATGCGAACCGCAGGTCGTTTACACAGATGTATATGTTGAAAAGATTTAAACATCACATAAAACTATTGACAGCATGTTGTACGGAATGACCTGATTTCTCTAATGCCCTTCAAACCATGCTGTTTGCACATTGTTAGGATAATATACTACATGTAGTATAATTAAGTTTGTTAGTTTCTTGTATCTGATCTCATGAGCTGATCACTGGAAACTGTTATTCCTATAGTTGTAATCAAAATACGTCTACGACGTTTAACATTGCAACATCTAGTAGGGAAAACCAGTAAGGCTGAATTTACGTTTTTTTTGTTTACTTATCGCTTTCACTACTAATAGTAAGATTAAATTGGGTCTCCTCGCTGGAAGGTGCTACTTTTTGGAAATTACGTACGTGCGTTTTTATCTTTCAAGATCGCATACGCGAGTTTTACCAAGACCCCCCCCCCCTTGTCTCTGAGTATTATATAATGTAATGAATATAATGTAATGACCGTCTAATAATTGCATCGACCCAGGATTGGTAGGCGATCAGAGTTGAACTCCAATAAGTGGTCGTTGACCCTAGGCGCCGAGTGCACCTCATATCCACTGCATCATCATAATATGGGCGAGGCTTTTAATAAACCCTTGGAAAACGTTCGTTTAAAGTAGTTATTTTTTTTTTAAAACCACATATTAACAAATCTAAATTGTCGACATGTCAAAGTCACTGTTGGTGTAACACCGTTGACATGACAACAATGGCATTGTTGTTATGACAATAGCACCGTGGACGTAACAAAGTTAATTTCTATGACGTATTGAAGAATGTCATCAAATCAATCAATGAATGACGTCATTGCTACTCATTCTAGCCAAAATAACACACAAAACGTTCCAATAAATGTCCCATGTATAATAAATATAAAAAAATATTTATTCATCACACGCACAAGCGAAACAGTAACAGTGGCTTGGAAAATGGTTCAATCACGAATAGTAAAAACAGCGATGGAGACTATATAACATCAGCGGTGATGTTATATAGTCTCAAACATAGAATATGATTTGTGTTGCAACTGGACTTGATTTCTAGTCGTGCCCTCATCTGGCTGTTCAGTCTATATACATTTACCTCAGTGGCCAGGTATCGAGGCGTTTAAAACAAAACCGCAATACACGGCAAGCGGCTCTTTGGACCCGAGGTGAAACAAGAAAGCGGAGACAGCGATGAACTGGAATGGAACATATGTTTTTTTTTAGTTCTTTTTCGTCCCGAATTCAGTTTTTAATTGAATGTCAATGATCTGCTTATAGCGCCCTCACAGGCTCTCAGTTTAATTGTGTTTGATGGAGGAAGATGGAGACTTCTTTTTCACATTAAACTTTAAGAAGATGAGATATAAGAAAACCCATAAAGACAATAACTCTAATTCAAGACATGTCGAGAGGAACCGAATTTTGATTAATCCACATGCCTCAAAAGATGATGCCAAGCACTACATTTTATTATAAGTTGAATTCAGCTATATATTTCTGACTCTAAATTAGAAATATTAATTTAAATAGTATTACACAAAGTATCTTAAATAATTGCTGTTAATATTGCACTTCATTGGCACCTTATTTTTAGCTTGCATATATTTTATTTCTTTATTTGCGGTAAAGGGTCTTAGCCATCATACAATACAAGTGACAATTATTGGGTAACAGAATAATGTTTATTATTTTTCATTGATATGTATTATATAGAAATAAGAATATCTAATGTGTAATTTTGGAAGATATCAAGGTTATAAACATCGATATATTGCAATTTATGTATAAAGAATGAGGCAAAACAGCATTTCTGCATGTTATTGTGATGCATAAGGCATTTTTAGAAAAAAAGTAAAATTCCCCCACCACGTACGTAAAAATACTTTTACAAAATATGCAACATCTGTTCTCCTTTAGTAATCATCTAGGCCTGTCAATTTTTATATTAATTACATCCCTAAAAACACCGAAACTAACTATTATATGTTTTTAAAATACATGTTAGATAAACATGATAAATATTTCTCAGATTCCAGAGCTGACTTGATTGTAACATAAGTACATATTTTATTCAATTGCGTTAATGGACCATGCAAATACCTTATTCTTAAAAAGAATAGCTCACAAATATGAATAGGGTCATCGACCTACTGCTCGAGCCAGGCTGTCCTGAAACCATATCTGAAAAGCATATTCGCAATACAGGAAACCCACGGTGTTCTACCGCATTCATCCATTTTTTTTAACGTACTAGTAATATAACACGTTTTGAGATATTGAGTATTTTTCATAGGCACTAATTTGGTTCAATAACCAATTAAATGCAATTCTTGAATTATGCACAACATAATGATAGCCTCCTACATTCACCAAGAACTGTCTTTGTATTCACATTATTGTTAACACCGATTAAAAAGTGGCGACATTTCGTTTTAATACTACGGTATTAAACGAAAAACAATTATTTGTATCTTATTAATTGAATATCTATTTTCCAGTTTTGACAAAAAGGAATAACCGGTATATATTTCATTGTATTTAAATAAGGAAACGATAAAAGACCATGAATATCTACATTTTATAATATATAACATGTTGTAATTTGCCGTACATTGGTCAGTTTAAACATTATGCATATCTACATTGTTAGTAATTAAGGGGTACTTTGATATTGTAGAATTCCACAGCATTTTCACCCCAGATAGCCCTCTTTTCTTCTTCTGTGCATCCGTCGAGACATTCTTGTAGCACTGTATAAACCCCCTCGTATGTAGTGTTGGCCATTCTAAACACGGGGTAGTCGCTTCCAAACACACATCGTCTTGCACCGAAACAATCCAAACAAAACTATAAAGAGAACGAATAATGAGACATGAAATATTGAATAGAAGCATTTGTTATTTTGTATTATGTAACTTTTGCGATAGTACCTTATTAAAATCACAAATTTATTACGTGGGGTGTATTGTCCGTAAACTCCCATCGCCTATGAAACAAGCAGCCTGTCGGCTGAGATAGCTCCGCTGTTAGCAATGCACATGGCAATTAAAGAACAGAAGATATCATTACAAAATGACAAATCTGAGAGAGGTCCACATGTAGTACCTATATATGTATATCAAAGCAATTGGACTTGCGGTTTCAACAAGAAGTCGAAAATATCACTTTTTACTAAAAATGACAAAAATATTCACCAAAATTAGAGAATTGAAGATATCATCATGAAATGAACAAATCTGAGAGAAGTCTACCCAAGGTACATATACACCAAGTATCAAAGCATTCAGGCTTGTAGTTTTCAAGAAGAAGTCGAAAAAATAAAACATTGACACGGACGACGGAGACGGACGACGACGGACAATCACTCATATGATAAGCTCCGCTCGACAAAGTCGACAGCGGAGCTAAAAAAGATCCAGCAGAGAAAATCTAAGTTTAGATCATTGCTTAAATGTTGATGGAATCTTTCCGTGGTATCCATAATATGATAGGTTGTTATCAAATGTGTATGGCAATATATTTTTTTGGGCCCAGCATATGTGAAACCATATAAGCCTACGTTAAATAAAAACGAACGAAATCAGTCTTATGACCACTACTCAATTTTCAGTGCATGTACTAACGATTTGTTTACACACATCCTTCATTATATGAATCAAACAAAATATAGTGCAAAGTTTTAAACTCTTTGTACCCAAACTCCGCACACTTTATACTATAGTAATATTACTCACCTTAACGTAAGGCTTTAAATCATGTGACTTCCATGTATCCAAATCAGCCTCAGTCACCAGCCCAGATCTAAAATATGAGATTAAAATAGAAGAAAAAAAATCTCACCAGTCTAGAAAACAAAACGACCATTGAGAACTAGTAATATAACTCTCGATCACGACAAGTACATGGCTGTCGCAGGCAGAGACTCTACTTATCAAGCCACACTCACTCACGGGCACTGAGTTCCTCAAGTACGCCGCCAACGACTGTGATGAGTTGAGGCTTGAAAATTGCCTGAAAAAAGCTAACAACTTATTTTTGCTTCTCAAGACAGGGGGACAAGTCATCAACTGTCGATTGTGCTTACCAAAATAAAATATTTGATTGAGAAAACCGTGTTCATATTGCCCTAACCAATATAACCATCTGTTAGATATTAGGATGAATTAGTTTCACGCCACGTGAACAAGAAGCTAGCTTAATGTTTTTAGTTGCAATTTAGTTGTGTGTATCATGTACTTGTTTGTGCATGTGAAACAGAATCTCAAAGTCATTGGTTGAAATTAAACTATGGTTGCAATACGTAGCTACATTCATTGGCCTACTATATTAAACATGGAGCAAATAAAGCCTAACGTCATTTTAAAGATTACATCATTCTACGCATACGTCGATTGTATCGTGGAATGTAACGCCACGCTGTGTCATTCACAAACTTACAATTTACAGTATACATTGGGATACTTTGCCGCCTGGCTGATATGCTGTTTCCACTCGTCTATGTACTTCCCATCTTTAATGTCCGGTTTCCCAATGTGGTCAATCATCAGTTTCAGTCTTGGGAACTTTTCAGCTAACTCTGCTGCGTAGCGTGATTTATGAGGTGGTCTGTATCGACAATGGAAACAAAACTAGTCACGTGTCAGTATGACGTCAGGGTGAACTAGACATCTAGCATTGCAAGCGACCAATACAAATTTACCCGAACACACAACACGTATTATTTACATACGTTCTCCTTAGCCGAGGTAAAAGAATGGACCACTATTTATTGGGTAAAAAACATGTATCGTTGCATGTTCGTTATCAATGAGATCTCGACGGCCATCTGTGTTTAAAGTACATTAAACAGAAAGTAAAAGCCGACTGGGGGTTACTTCCACGACTTTTCAGTTTATTCTGAATGACCATTGACAGTTATCTACAATAACTGGTAATATTTGTAGCAGTACATTTTAGAGTTCCACAAATTTTACCTACCCCCAATCGGCGTAACTGTGACACAATGAAAACTACCTGATGAGCAGGTCAAAGGTTAAACCTCTGTTCTCTATAATTGACAAGCTTTTGTGTACTTCAGGCCGCCCCAACCAATCAGAATCTTCGAACTCTGTGATGTATCTTAAACCAACCAATAACGGATTGGTCCTCAGATTATCTACAATGGCTCCCACCTATAAATCAGACACCAAATAAAGAAGGTTAGATGTGACAGAGGTGCCCGATTCCCTGCAGAAAATATGTTTTTATTTCTTTGCTTGCTTACAGCATAAATCACAAATAAACATAAATCAGTTGACAAGATATGTTAATGTTATTATGTCTTGTATAAACTATTGTAAATAAAGTTTTATTCAGAGAGAATTTATATAGATGTATTTGGGTATTGGAAATAGTTGATAGTATGAATTTATGCGGATGTGGGATATACTTATACATATATATAAATAATCCAATTTTGATGTTTTTCATGTCTGAAAGGAGGCAATTGTTTTGATTTCTCATTTAATTGTGTGTTCAAATCCCTTCGCTCACCCCTTTGAATAGTATTCAAACGCTTGTTGATTCACAAAGACTCGCCTCTGGTCCTAAAGACCACAGCAAATTGAAACAACGAATGCATAGCCCTGGAGAATTTCTGTTTTTTTCTGCAACATGACTACTGACCCAAAACAAATACTAGTAATCGCTGTTTTATCTGGCATTATGTTTATTTTATTAACACCATGTTATTATCCAGTGGTTGCTGAGTAAACAGTGAGAAAATAATGCAACATTGGTTATTGGAATGAAACAAATGCTTACCTCATCGGGTTTTGATAAATCTACCCATCCCACGACTCCAACTATACTGCTGTGCTTACGGGCTAAATCAAAGATCCAGTCTGAAATAATAATAACATAAATATGTTGTTTTACATTAACATAAATATATTAATATATTGCATGCGTCGAGGGGCATTTGGTGGGTAGGATTTCTGAGAGTTTTGATCCTAGGAATGCAAAGGCTGAATTTTGTCACAATTTTCAAAAGATGATCCATACATAGTCAGTCTGCATACAGTAAAATACTTTATTTTCGCTTGGAATTAATTTTTGCTATTTTCGCTGAAGGAATGATTCAGTGAAAATAAAATCCAGCGAATATACATTTTTTCCTATATTTCACATTCAACTTGTCGAAAATCAGTGAAAATAAATTCCATACAAATCCACCCAAAAATTCTTTTTAGCAAAAATTAATTCCAGCTAAAATAAAGTATTTTACAGTAGTTTTGTATTCGTTAAGAAATTTCTCTGTGAAAGAATACATATAATACTATATTGAAACATTATGCTGCATCATTTTATTCGAAATCGAAAGATGGTAAAAAACCTGCATGGTTTGTTTCACAAATTTTGAACATTTATGGATATTGTAGAAAAATACATGAAAGTGGGTGATATGCTGATTATGGCATTCAAAGAATGAAAGAAATATAAACTTAAATAAATAAAGCAAAGCTTAACAAAGATCCTATACTATTTACTCTAGTATATGCACTTATCACATCCTGGAAAATGTATGAAATGGAATATTTAACTAATATATTGACAGTTAACAGATAATGACGTACGACAATTCAAATATGACCCGACTTACAATTTTCATCTAGGGTGTTATTAACCACTTGTACAAATATAAAATTTTTCACAGGAATTGAAGAATTCTTCAACTCGTCTTCAAGGTCTTCTGGGAGGAAGCTTCGAAACAAGGCAGAATGTTCTTCTGTTGGCCACGCATAATTGAACTTCTTTAAATTCCAAAAATCTAGTAAGAAATAAGTGGTAATCGAGATTATATAACTAGGAACTAAAACAGTTATGCTTTAATTATTGCATTACCACAAGAATACATCATGATAAAACCAAAATATCCAAGAATAGATTTTCAGGAAAGGTCAATGACTCGACAATGCACACAAAACGCATAAAATAATGGTAAAGACAATGAGCCCATTCCATCGTGAGTTATTTGCATATACAGGAAACAACGCCCCTTTTCAAAACTCGTGAAACATGGAGGATGTTTAAACGTACTACATAACAGACCCATTGAGACGGAATTATGTGAAAACACGTACACATGGGTTCACATACTTGCTTGGATGTTACTGACATATATTTTGATGTTTTAGACTAGATTTATACGCCAGACGTTTGATTATATGAATATTTATACAAATTGCGTTCTAATCAATTGTCAGTTCATTTTTGTTACTAGCTCTTCAGAGATTCACACTCCAGGATTTCGTTCACCCGACTGCTGCTGAAAAAAGACGAACGAAGCAAACATATGAGCCCCTGGGACAGGGTACGGTTATACTGGTAAACAATTTCATTTAGTAACTTACGACAGTGAGTCCACGGTTATCGGCGAATTGCTTTGCACATTCGACTGCATTGTGAACTTTGACCTATTTTGCTGCGATCATGAAATGTGTCCATTGGTCCAAACATAACCCCCAATCTGCGTTTTCAGATGGCTATAAATGAAACCCCGAGAAGAGGGGTGTCAATAATGAAACGGACAGACAGATCTCAATCTTCAAGTGAACTCACTTCCGGGTACGCTCTCCACGCAAGGTGGCGCTTCTTCAAATCACTGCCTGCGCTAAGAACTCTGGGATGGAGAGTGTTCCGGGTACCAGCATTATGGGACTCGCCTCAGAATATGTCATAGTTTTCCACACACTGCAATTATCAACCGTATTAATGCGCGAGGTTCGTGCACTGGTGGGAAATATATACTCCAGTGCCGTACTGGGCTTTTTGTTGTTAGTTGTGAATGATGGTGACATATAGCCTCATTAATATGCCGGCAGCTGTCTGGTTTCACATATACCTGTCACGGGTTTGAATATAACAAAACATATAAGGTTGATTTTTTTATTGTCACACAACAAACAGACAATTAGGAAAAGTAACACATAAAAACAAGAAAACTTAACCAGTCATGAATACATTTAAACACAAGCAGAATGCCATTGTTGAAAGTATGCTGTTGGTCATGTATCTATGGTATCATGACACGAACGCTCCCCGTTTGTTTTTAAAAAAACAATTATCATATGTGCCTTTTTACGGTCTATATATTGTTCCACTGAAGATCACTTTAAATTTATAAAGTCAATGAAAAGTAATGTAAATAATTTTTCATTTTACGACAATTAAATCTGATTTTTCCTCCAATCACTAGCGCGTAGTTAATAAAAGCACTTTCTTTCAAGTCCCTGCAAAACATTGACTAGTGGCCGAATAGTCATGAAGAAACCTGGGAAATGTAACAATTGCCAATATTGAAAATCGTTCCAGCCTGTAATAGACAATTTCTTGATTTTTTTTTTCAATTTGTTTTCTAAAATTCAATAATGAGTTTTTATACTTATTAATATATTGTTGATATACTTTTAAGATATTTGAACGTATCAAAAACGATAGATATTTTGCCGGACTAATCCGTAGAGATCCGATAATAAAATTTTTTGGGTGATTACGGTTGGACCACCAGCCTGAGGGAAGAATTCCATCATTACGTTGGAAGCGCTCTGATGTAAAAGCGTTTAATGATACTTTCACTAATATATAGCTATATGTAATTAGTATTATATTTAATAACACCTGCTGGACAATACCTTGGATGTAATTTTATACCTCATAAAAATAATAATAAAGAAATTGATCTCAACTTTTTTCCAAACCGGTTCTGCTTTTGTTTTTCAGTTACTTGCTAGTTTCTGTTAGTGAGAAAGTTGCTCGTTTTCATATGAAGAAACAAATATTTACCACGAAATACGCAAACCAAGCCCAACAATGTCTGTGAAATTCAACAACATTGATTTTAAATTAAAAGACTTCAAACATTTAAACTTCTTTTTTCTTTAGTCGCAAATGTGCATCTTTTCTTATTTGTAAATGGATCAACACAATATCAGAATCATACTTATTAATTGTCGGTAGGTTGTATATTGAAACTAGGTCCTTGTGTGCTTTCAGTAGTTTTAGTGGTTTTTGCGGGAGCGATGTAAACATAATCCACCAAGAAGCCGTGTAGGATTTGACCGAGAAGCCGAGTATTTCACCTCGCATAAAAATGCATATGCCCAATCCAAGTTGGCGTAATATGTGACAACAAAATGTTGTGCTGTGTTGCATATTATTTTTATGCAGCTTTTCCATAGTTCACACTGACAGAATTTTCTTCGGTATGTGGCCAAGTAAAGAAAAAACTAGTTGGTCAAACTGTGTATGCAGACTACCACTGACCCTGTATTTGGCGCATTTGGCGCATTGTAGCTTTGATATTCATGCGTCCGTTTCCTTGACTTGCAGTACGAAACCTCCGCCTCTGTGCAAATATTTAAAACACCTATAAAATCTTACCAGTCCACAGTATATACAGTTGGTATGTTTCCAAACGTGCCACTGTTAAAAAAATCAACTTGCATCGTACACAAGATGTAATATTCTCATATGTCGATTAGGCTGCTTATCATACCCCTAAATGTTGTATTGGTTACAGATATTCACAACACAAAAGTGGCTAATTTAGTCAATACATTAACGCTTCCCGCGTTTTACCCCATGCTAGTATTACCTACTGCAGGTATATAGATGTCACAGGAAGTCTGCAAAGAAATTAACTAGTGTGAACAAGCTAGCTAGTGCGTGCTCAGCCTTTGACCAATAGAACAAATATTCTAGTTTTATGTCCGATTACTATGACAACTAATTCTTTTTTGTCTGTCATTTCAGGTACCTTTTAATTTAACATTAATAAAAATACGATGTGACGACCAGAAAGTTACATAAAATATGTCTGTGTCGTTGGTGTTCAACAAATTCAATTCTACTGACAGGGTTAAAAGCTGGAATTCATTGACAAAGTTAAAATAGCATTAACATAAACAAAACAAATTAAAACAACACATCCCGCATTTCTAAGTTAGTTATACAACAAATTGCAGTTCCACTCAAATCGGTGCTTCCTATGTTAGTATGACGTCACTCGCAGAGGACGTGCACTCGTATGCCGCTGTTAGTATCTGCCATGAGCTTTTTTCTAAATAGATAAAAGGTCTGTCAATGATAAACTGACCTCGGATAAGTTTAAATAATAACGTACAATACAGATACTGACTGCTGCCGCCATTATTACTCATCAGACACAGTGTTTATGAAGAAGATTTGGAAATATTGATCGAAAAACAATTTCTTACATCGCGCCACATTTATTGCAATAGGAGGTGTACTTCTCCGGCAGCTCTGGAATTGTCTTGTGTGACAAAGGATTCATAATTCAGCCGATTTGACGTCGACACTGTAAATTGTGTCTTTTTATCATTGAACAGGGTAAGTTATTTTAAGTTGACGAGGAAATTATGTCCTTTATTTCCGTAATCACATGTGTGCATAGTGTCCCATTCTCTCACGGTTAACTCTCAGTGGTAAATCACTCTCATAGGGCCGTGCTAAGTTGTTGGCGGGCTGCACAGTGAAGCGAATTATATCAATATAGTAAGGGCGGGTGGCGTATTTTTAATAAATCAGTTGAAGACTGGCTGTGTGAGTACAACACACCTGGAGTGAATTAATACGAAAAACAAACAAACAAACTAAGTGTGTCGGAAAATCATTGAACTCTAGAATTTCGTTCAACAAATCAGTATGATTCCCGAGCATGCATGTTACGTTCGTCCCTAATTTGCATACTGTGGAACGTCTTATTATTATTTTCCCGCCAGAAAATCAAACGCATATTTTTTTGAATTCATACGTCATTTGCTATGAAAATTGCAAATATACATTATATTGTATTTTGTAAGCAGATTTGTTTAAAGGATTTCTGTCACTGTAATAAGTAGTCTACATATTTAAATAAATTTCAAAAGAAAGAATATTATGAGGTCAAAGTTCAGGTTGTATGATCTGTGGCAGTCACCAATTTAAAGTCAACATTTTATCGTTGCTGTTTACACAAGGTAAACTTGTGAACTACTTCATCTGCCACACGGTCTAGTCGCTGGGTTCCAGTTAAATATTCACGATAGAAGTGAGGTGTTTATATTTATTTATGTGATATTCCAGAGAACTAGTGAATGTATAAGATGAAATTATTACCATAGGGTCTATGGTATTACTAACCCGAAATCCCTGCAATAATTTCGCCCATAGGGAGAGCAGTTCAGTGAAGTCGACCCATGGCCACCATGAATAGGCACTTCATTTGAGTATCATACCATATAATGACACTCTTATTTGAATACCATGCAATCTAAGACCCCTTTAATTTGAATATCATACCATATAATGACACTTTCATTTGGTTACTATACCATATAAATACCCTTCCGTCTATTTGAATGCCATATAAAAACACTCTCATTTGAATGCCATGCTATATAAGGCCCCTTGTAATGAAATATACCATACAAGGACTCTCTCATTTGAATATTTTACCAAACATTAACGATATGTGTCAACATTCTTTTGTTCCATTACGAGGTGCCAGCAGTAAAAGTGAAATATTTTGTTTGTGAACAGATGATGTATACAACGCAAGTTGAGATATTACGACACGTGTGCCCTACAACATGTACCATTCTATGTTTCGCACGCACTGAGTTGTTCTATTCCGTTCTAGTTTTTATTTTACATTGCTAATTAGATATTAATTGTTTTCACCTTGTCGTTAGATGCATGCATGGCGAAAAATAACACTGGATCTGGTCGTGATCATATGTGCTGCCACACAGGTAAGGTCACTGCACTGTTGACAGGAGAAAAACGAGTTAGTTCATATTCGAAAACCTGGTAAATAGTTCACCAAACATTTACATAACCAGGCTGAGTGACTAACTAAAGAAATGAATTTAATTAGCATACTGTTTGGAGCTGTTTTACATAAAAAGGAGCATTTAATAAATTAGTAATGTTCCATCTTGGTCAAGCAGATACCATGGCCTCTTCTCAAGGGTCTATGTTTAGTTAGCATTCACTCTCGATGAAAGTCAGTGTCTGGGTGGCAGTCTACTACTTTTCAGGGAAATACAGTGCTCGTAGATTGCATACTTGTGTATTTATAAACTAAGATTGTTGTGGAATATATTTAATAATAAATAAGCTGTTTATCTTCGGCCAAATAGGGAGACACGTTTTATTAGGTTAGGTAACTATTGTAATCAGGGTATTTGAAACACTGAGTAAAAACAAGTCACGTGGCTCTCGCTCACAATGAGATCTGGGCGGCCATTTTCGTCAAAAAGTCTAGTGTATAACTATACCTTTACATTTTTTGTCTCGGACCCGACACGAGATAGTGAACGATTCATGACAGTATAGTTTCTTTTTGTAGTTCACGGTTACGGCGCTAGTAGATAGCGATAAATGCGGTGTTACAAAGAGCTGCTTTCATGACCCCCCGTACTGCAAGACACCTGACTGTGACGTATTGATCACGTGGGAAGATACGCACACTTTTTACGGCGAACCAGCCACCTCATTCGGAATATGGGGGAAAACCTGGCAACATGAGGACTGGGTTGGTTTTGGACTATCACGTGACAAAGAAATGGTAAGACGTATTTTATTCTCATGGATTGCAACGTGTCACGAATCACCGCGCAGCACGCGGTTAAATTTCACATTTAAACCTTTTTACTTCCAGACTTCCTTGCCCAAATTTTTCAGCACTTTTTTCTTATACTTGTTAATATTTCAGGACATGAACCCTAATTTTGGATTCAACAGACAAAATTTGAGTCAGTTTGGGTATTTTTATCCTAATCTTCAAAAGGAACAAAAACGTGTTCATTTCAAAGTTTATATTTTGTGTTTAAGATGTCTGCCGCCATCAGTGACAGGAGAACGCGTGTAATAAACCAAAACTACGCACACATATACGTTTTAAAAGCGGATTGAAGACTGAAAAATAGTTATTTTTAAATTGTGACTTCTTTATCAATATATTTATTACAGTTGAAAACACTGCCGGATTTTGTAAAATGTGTAATCTAGTAGCTTTGGAAGATGAATTTCATTTCCCCCTTGCGTGTGCTGAGGGCACACCACCTTATCAATTCATTGTGCATTCGAATTATTTCAAATTTCAATCTCTATTACGCTCAACAGACACTTATGTATTACAATCTGTAATGCACTACATATAAAAAGGAATTTTCATCATGGTTTCTTTCTTTAATTTCACAGTGATTTAATTTAATTTATTTTTTGTAAATATATATTTTGGACTTCATTAGTATTTTGTATTTATGTATAATCTGCTACTGTCATTTCAACGTGAATATCTGATCAGAAAGGGGAGGGGTTGCTCACGACCTACGACAAAGATTTTTAATAAATCGGTCACTATTTTCTCGCTGATCTCAATTTACATTTCTTATGAAAGTTGCACCCTCGAGCTGTTCTATGACGTAATAGTCACGCACATTGATCAAATAAATAGTTCTATATGGCTAGTCGCTTTCGATCTGTGATAAAGTGCATTTAAAAAATCAGTATGTTTTATTGACGGACTATGGTCGAGCAAGATAATATATCGACACCATCACCGGTGTCTGAATTACCATTCACATCACAGAAGCGCCACTGCATACTCCTGTTTATACCGTAGGGGGCGTTTGTAGGTAAAACTTGAATCACTTTGCGCAAAAGATCTGTACGCACATATTCTATGCCAGCACACATTTAGTTACATGAACACGTCATTTGCCGAACATTTTGCAGGACGATACTGATGTTTGGGCATGTATGGAATTGGAGAATAGAAGCGTCGTACTCGATCATTCTTTCAACAGGTACGATCACAGGAACCAACAATTGGACCAGGTAAGTGGCAAAGAGAAAGGCATGTTCTATATGAACGGTGAAGGGGCTAGATTTCACCCTATATTTAGCTCGTGTTTACAACCGAGGACAAAATAGCGTGTACATTACATCTACATGAAACAGTCACTCCATTTTGTACTCTGTTGTATATTTACTGGTCAGTGTTTACAGTAACATAAACGGGATGCAACGGACATATATTACAATATTCTGAGTTGTTCTATTATATCTGCCACCGTGTCTAGTTTTCGATGTGACAGGAGTCGGGTACTGCATAGTAATTATAAGTCATTCTCCGAAATATACATCATTCGAGTATCGAGATTATGACAATGTGCTATGTTTAACCACAGTCCCTGTGGTTAAACAGCTCGGCTACTCCTGTGTCTAATAATTATAATATTTTAATAATTAATTTTGTTTTGTGTAATTGCAGACTGGGGCACGTAATTTCCAGTATACTTACTGGAACGGACTAATGGAATGTACATTTGACCGCCTGAACTCCATAGAATCTCACGACCAATTTTTTGACCTGCGTGATGGGCCGTATTATATGATAACCGCATTTGGCCCAAGTGCTCCGGGACCAGGAGGTAAGGTATCAGAGAAAACATAAAAATAAAATTCTAAAATCTTGACAAGGAGAAAGGATCGTCCTACAATCACAGCTTCCTCGGTGTGTTGTTTTGAACCCCCGTCTATTGTGTATTCGTAAGTACTAGCACGGCTGTTTTGAAATGGCCAATAGCCGTTCTAGAATTCCCTTAAAGGGCGGCAGTCGTCAATACAATTTTATTTACATGAAACACCGCGCTTTAACCTGGTTATGGCATGGTTTGGTATACGAGATCAAAATATTGAAACATCAACAAATTGACAAATTAAGCTACGTGTGTTCAGAACAACAATCTAATTGGTCAAAACTTTCCATTGGCGACAGCTGTCACGGTGGTACGAATCAGTTAAATCGTGTTCGCGTGACGGCTACGCGCTCATGGTTTATAAGCCGTGACCATCACGTGACTAGTTCACCTCGAGTTCGCACGGGGGGGGGGGCGTGTCTTTAGTTATAATTCATACATTATGCTTTGTTTACAGAGATACGAGTCTAGATGCTTTAATATCTGACTTATCTTTTTTGCGAATTATTTTCTGTGCCAATTCACATACTTAAAAAACAATTCTATCACTGATCGACGACTTTCCCGGAAGTTGAAGATACAGCGTTTCGCATGCGCGCACATGTCATTTTGGGGTGTAGCGTGAACTTGTATGCGTGATATTGGGCTTCTGGGTGCACCAATCGATGTTACAAAAATAAAGTTCCCTTCTATCGATTATCAGCAAACTGACATGTTTGTATTTTCAGCCATGACAAAGTAGGAGTATTTTTGCACCCCAGTCTCGCTACTTCCGAGAAAGTCGTCAACTATCACTCTATAAGCGCGCCCTCTAGTAGCTACGAACTGCTTCTGTGGTGTAGTCGGCGAAAGAAGAAACGTTCACAGTTTTTCTATTCTGTTGATTTGTTTGTTCTGTCGATGTTTTTGTTTGTTTGTGAGACTTGATGTCAAATCACTTCACAGCCGAAACAAAAGTGTCCATTCCCTCTTCTTCGCTTTTACACACCTACGCCATTTCGTTGCCATCGCTAGAGGGCCCTATTTATTTGTTCGGGTTAGGAACGCTAATGTTTACTGGGAGTACTAGTATTCGATTTTAAAAATACCAGTCATCCTAGACGCTTCAGGACCCGGAATGTTCCATGACAAATATCACATTTTCGGGTTAGCCAAATGTATGGAGATCAGGTGTACATACATTACATGAGACTTCGCATTAACTAAGTTCAACCCCATCTTCAAACTACAGATAGTGTATATGCGAGAAAAGAGAAATTAGGTCAGCATGGCAGAGAACCCCTTGTATCAAGAGATATGATAGAATTCAATCAAATCACCGTATCGTATGGGAAAGAGAGGACGCCTGGCTCGTACAAGACACATGGTACGTACCAAGAATATATTTATGTCCGATATCACGAGTTATTACAGTGTGTCGACGTCGCATTTTGTCGAGACAGCGTAATTCACAGCCTGGCATGTAGGCGTGAGTGGCGCCCTCGCCGGCCGAACGGCATCAGACTCCACTAATGTGTTGGGTTTGGAGCACCTCGAAGGGTGCAACTCAAGCGACCTTTTCCGGCTACGCAATTCATTGTAACAGCAATTGCTCCTAATAAAGTAAAAAAAAGGTGATGCAGCAATACTTAAATAATTTGCATTTGACTTTGACCTAGCCCCACTATACTTGACGTATTTACCTTGATTAATTCAATCCATTATACTAGGCGCCCTGATGATTACAGCATGGATCGGATTTGCCAGCGTCGCCTTGATATTGGCGAGGTATTTTAAACACATGTGGCCAAATACAGAAGTACTTGGACAGAAAGTATGGTTTACGGTAAGTTGTCAATACTAGCATTTCCTCCTACGAAACTTTGTTGTTGTTCAAGTTCTTATTACAGAAGCCCGTCGCATAGGAATTTTGATACTGGACGCATGGAGCCGGGAACAGCCATTGATGGCGTTGTATACAATCGAAACCTATTAAGGCTTGCCTACGCTCGTTCAGAATACACACTCCGACCATGTCATACTCTGTAATGTGCAACAGAACAATAAGTTCACCTTTTGATTTGTTTCTTTTCAGTTTCATCGAATTCTCATGATTATAGCTCTCATTCTGTGTATCGCTGCTTTTATCCTAATATTTGTCGTTAATGGCGGCTGGGTGAAATACGAGTACATTGATGACGTAAGTCTTTTTTTAGTTTCCTCTCTAACACAAAAATCACTAACCAACGCGAAAATCAGTAATTGCACCCCCTTCGTTTACTTATGAAATATTCAAATATTTTTTTAATTTTAGCCGGAGCACATCCATGCTATTATTGGTTGTATAGTCGTCTCGCTTGGAATTATTAACCCAATTCTTGCAATTTTCAGATGCGATCCCAAACATTCCAAGTAAGTACACCGCTATACTTTACTCTACCGCCCTCTGCGGTGAACATGGCATTTGCTTTTGTCTATTTTGTTTGCACATAGTTCTAAAATTTGCACAAAGTAATCCAAAGTATGTATGTCGGAGATTCATCAGCTTTTATTGTTATGTGATATACACCAAGAAGTCGATATACATATGTGTATATTTCATGTTTACAGACGATGGATGTTTTCCTGGGCCCATTGGGCTATTGGCACAACAACGCATATACTGGCAGGTAAGATATTCCAAACTATAATCTTGTTAATGTATATGCAGAAAGGTATTTATAAGACGAGATAAAATGACACAATTACATTTGACTGTGAAAATAATTTCATTGTCTAAAGTGACTCACCAAGCATGTGGATTTTGCCAACAACTTTTCTACCAGTGCGCCCTCTAGCGACTAAAAAAACTCTGTGACGTAAACAGTGACGGGACAGTAGTTCATGGCGTCTCCGCTGTTTTTCTATACAGGTTTTCGTCAATTGATAGGATATTTTCTTTATTGTGATCGAGGAACTACAATGAAACTCATTTCTCGCTTGGAACGACGCTCACTCTACGTCATGTTGACGCCATTAAATAGCTCCGTCGCGAGAGGGCATTACTTGTAGAAAATGTGAATTTATTGGCGGTACAATCATGTCTTTTTAAATGAGACGTTAGATTTAAGCACAGTTTTAAATGTTACACAATTAGCGTGAATCGATAGTCGATATCATCGACATTAAATTCAAAACAGTATACAGTGATCATTTTAGATTGTTTTATTATCTGGGCCGTTTGTTTGGTTCACAGTCGTCAACACATTTCTCGGATCGAAGTACGTGAGAGTACCAAGATATGCCACGTGGGTGTTGCTATTTTGGGTGCTCTGTCATATCCTTGTAGGAATGTTTTACGAAATATTGAACTGCGTCAACAACGAATCAAGTAAGTATTATAAGTAGTACCTGGAGCTGACAAAGGGGGCACTTTAGATAAGATTGTGTTTTTATAGGGGAGATAATGAAAGAAATCTAAATATGATTATAAGAGCTTGAAAATGATGCACTTCCGCAATTCAGGTTCACGGGCGGCGTTGTTTTCGGTTTCTGTGGTATCTGTGTCAACTCATGTTCTACTCAAGCTGATATCTCAAGAACAACTAGCTGTATTTAAATGAACCTTGGCACGCAGCTTTTATATCACGAACACGATAACCGCGCGTCATGTCATGTTGGCTGTTTGTATATTTTGATATTTTTTTTATTAGACGCATAAAATCCTTAGGAAAGGATAAAAAGGGTCTTACAGAAAGAAATTAAAAACAAACAAACTACAATCTAAAAAATAAAACAAAAAATAGAAACTTTTCTAAAAAAAAAATAAAACAAGTCAAAAACAAAAAAGTATATGCAAATATTTAATTCGAGAGTAAATAACATTTCAACTATGGATTGAAACTAAATGCTACATATTTTTTGTCTGGGTTCGTTATCAAATCCATCATTATGTTCATCAAGCAGTGTGTAGTCAGTGGTATTACAGTAAAACATGTTGAAAAAGCGGCATGCAAATTTAGCGAATTGTGGTAAAATGTTGATTTAGCGAATCTCTCTTGTCATTGCTGATTCTTTGTTTGGCGGCCATTTTGAATTGATAATAAAGTCATTAGCGACATCTTGAATTAGCGAATCAGTTCTCTCGCTAAATTCGCGAAAAAAACATGCTCGCGCGAAAAAGACATGTTTTACAGTTTATTCGTTGAAATAGTCCCAAAAAATCTTGGTATCCTCGCGTCACGTGTTTGTTTCTCTCCCATCATCGGGTTCTCTGCTCAAAATACAATGATCAGTAAAACACTGAACGCGATGGCGGGAGAGGGTGGATTTTCAGTGACATGTCTGTAGTTATTTGGTCGTAGATATAAAACAACGGCAGACAAAGAGAAACTGAGACGGCTATCTAGCCTACAGCGTTACAAACATTAATATAATTTAATATGTAGCTGTACGAAAAACAAAATGGCGTCCAAGGGTTTATTTTATGAATTATTCCAATCTATTCCAGCCGCCTTCACGTCATACAAGATGTATTCTGCAGTCAAATCAGATGCTAGCAGTAAGTGAATTTTCATGAGATGTACGGGCATCTACGAATCGTACACAAATCTTATGCATACCTGGCTTGCAGCTAGTGCTGTTGACATTGCATAGAGACCAGTATATTTAGACGAGAAAATAGAATCTCCCAAAGTACATTTAAATTGGAATTGTGTGTAACATTTTTTGTGCAAAATATGAGAATTGTCCCAGACAGAATTAATATTCAAATTTAATTATTCATAGCTACTGTTCATATGTATTTCAAATATTACAACTTGAATCATACATATATGCTTAAGGCAGATATATACTAGTAGTGATTTTTTTTATTATTTGCTATTTGTAGCTAAAGCAGAAGCGGATGCAATAAAAAGACAGCAAGGTGAGTCCGACCGTACACACAAGTTTGCTAGTTCTCTCGAGGGAGCACGGCCCAACAACATTCCCATACTCTCATATATTATGAGGGAAATTGAAGGTGGTTCTTGACCCCTTTATTGTTATTGTTAAGTTATTGTTGCTTTGAATGTTTTCAGCAAGAGTATTCAAATCGTCACCGTAAAAATATATAAATATATGATTTTAGTCGTCAATGAAGACAAACACAGCTTTGAACACGATTTCCGTGCTTTAAACGATGTCGACTTCACTCATCAGCGAAAATGTTCGTCACATAAGCGATACATTGATAGGGGCGACATTTACAGGAAATCCTATTGTGGTTTTGTTCAGAAGAGTGGTTGTGTAAACACGACTTTAATAGCGTGTATCTGTCCATCATTACGGCAACCCCCCCCCCAGCTCAGACCAGATGGTTCTATTTGCAACCACTAGATTATCTGAATACGACCTATTTTTCACAGAGCCAATGAATCAAACTGGAGTTGAAATGCAGTCTGTAAATACCCAGGAATCAAACATTGACCCATATGACAACTACGGAATGGGTACAGTTAAAAAACAACCACCACCGCATGTAAGTAAACACATTAAATATGTTACAGTGTCTAGCGATATTTATGTTCGAGTAAGTTATCAAATCTACCATCGTGTTCATCCTCGTTCGTAGCTAGCAGTGTCTTCAAATACTCAATTACGCATATAAATATATAATCATCACACCATAGGATTGGTAAGTATTTATTTGCTTATGTAGCCCAATATGGACTCGGAGTCGCTAAAGCACAAATAGTATGGACATCCTTAACTCGTGCGTGTTAACCTACTTTGAATGAGCATACAATTTGGTCGATTACCACGCATTCCAGAGCCAATGGTCTTTTAGGTTCTACACGTGATGCGATCTGGATAGCCATTTCCACTTTCTAAGTTCGACGATCACTGATCAGGTTGCTTCATGCGGACACTTGACTCTTGTTAGTCGTCAAACCTTGTCATTGTAAACTCGCTGTGTTTTTTTTCTGTTTCACACCCTGCTTCTTTTGTTCATTTCAGAATTCCGTGTTGCGGACCACTGTACTCTGTATTTACATCGTGTTTACTGTTGCTGTCGTAGTGTATTTGATAGTGGAAGTATCATTGAGAGACTAGACATTCTTATTTGGGAATTTCAGCGAAGATGGTTTTATATTTTAAGATATAATTTGTTATATTTGTATTAATCATTATATATGCATCTCGGGTGCATTGGTAGTACGTGTTATAACATAGAGGTGTTTCAACTCTGTTATTTGGCCTCTACTGATGAAGTCGATATTTGTTTCTATTTCAGCTGTAGTTGTACATTTTATACATGCCATAAATTCAATGTATAAGGCACAGCATTCTTCTCGCTTCTATACACGTTTTAGATGTTACGTGTACGAAACACCTACTTCATTTACGACCGTCTGGGGTAAGTTGCAAAAGACAATCAAATAATAGCCGGGGAAAAATTAGCGTGGTCGTTTCCTTTGTATTGTTAACGTGCCCTGTGTCAAAGGAACAAACTGAACTCCCAGGAAAAAATAAAGCCTTACTCAGTAAGTGTACGTTGTTTACAAATCCCAATTTTAGAAGATTCGCTTAAATTCATCATTATCTATCTGCAATCTCGACATGTTATGGAGTATATATTGGTTAGGAGATGGTGCGTGCAAATTGGAATGTAACTGTAAAGTGAAAATTATGTCAGAAACTACTATGAAAATTATGAAAATAATTACATAAATTAAAGCGGCAATAGCTGTAACTGTCAATCTTTTACTCCCATTTTTATTTTGAATAAAACATTTTCTGTATCATTCGTGTATCATTCAATTTTTAACGGCCATCACCGAAATGTCAACACTGAAAGCATAGCGAGGAATATGGGTGTCAGGATCACCAGAGGGCGCCATCTATTGAAAACAAGTTTTGTCAAGCGAAAACCGGAAATACGGTACGAGATAACGACTTTCTGGGACCCGGGCGAATTGTCAAATACGTCGCTTTCATTTGAGGTTAAGCCTATCTCCGACGGTCTCCCACTGATGTTATGTGTCATTTCCAATAATAGTGTGCGTCGTGTGTCACAATGTGTAAGTGTACATAAGTAAAATATTGATGAAAAAAGATAAAAAAAAAGTGTTGTCTTAATGTATTTATGAATATTCATAAGCAATGTTGAACTATGTATTCAAGTTTGACCGTTAAACCATCAATCGTGTCCACTTAGGCATAACTGTTTTTTTTCTAAGGCAATGTATAAAATATCTTTATAACATGTATCTCGTGGTACATTCAAATTGATAAGATTGATTCTATTGACCAGAGAAGCCTATTTCCTTCTACGTCTTTCCCTCAATCATGACCGAATTACGTTTAACGTAGACCCCATCACATTTATTTAAGACGCTTGAAATGAATCATTCCCAGATAATTATTTTACATAGTGTAGTTTATATAGACTGTCGACAGTTCTCGGGCCTAATAAAGAGTCACTTATTTTCAAACGCCATAGGCCGTTTCAACGCCAGGGCCGTAAGGCCCTAGAGACTGTTATAGCATGTAACGCCCTCAGCATTTCGTAAACACACCT